CCTGTCTGACTCACCGCTGGTAATGTGTCTATTCGTCTGGATTCTTGTGCAAGAGGAAGTTGACTTTAAGTTTGGCTACAACGGTAGCAGATGCTGATGTGGCAACCCAGACCAAACATTCTTTTCTGCTTCTGTCAGCAGTGCACATTCTTCGTTTAAAGGTCAAAGTAACTTAACTTGTAAGGCTGACTCATGCAGATGTGGACTGTATAAACGCAGTGTACTTTTGATTGCTTCCCCTTTGCACCCATAGTTAAGAGTTTCTTTTTGAATCGAAGAATTTGATGTAATCACAGGCAATGATTTAAATACTGACATTTTGCAGTTTCAGTCATGATGATAGTGCCTTGATGGAAAAAAATATACTCCACAGATGGTAACAACTTCACTGAAACTAGCTCATGAAACTGAAAATATTCAAATACTCTTGCAAGCTCTTCTTATCAAGGATGTTGAAAGAAAAAGAAGCCTGCTCACGTGGAGACTTGAAGTTTCTCTTACAACAACAAATGTCTTTTAAACTATGTTGTTCCCATCTGGCTTTGTAGTTTGTGCTGTGCAGAAACACTGTATTTACACTTGGTTATATACCTCAGGCAGTTACAACAGGCATGTTACACAGTGTTACACATACATGACAGTAACATTTATGCTTTTTGCAACCCTTTTCTCTTGATTTTAATTGTTTGCTTAGGAGACTCATTTGTACCACTGATACTTGATAACCCAGAGTAATTTGATCTTGCTTGGGAGTGTACTGTTTGGGCCTCTATGGCCACATGGGTTGAAAGGCTTGCCTTACATGCCTTACATCTGGGGTTTTGTTTAAAAAAATTCATAACGACCCCACAATGCTAGTATTAATGAGTCACCTTTTTTAAATTTTTTATTTCAGGCTTCTTATCAGTTCATGATAGCCAGCTTGTGTAAAGGGACATTCTTTCCCAAGACAGCTGTATTTTTTAATTAATTTTATTTTGAATTGCAGACCAACATTTTAATAATTTAATGTTTATATATTACCATCTTTGGTTGGTAGATTAATTAACTTTACAGTAATCCTTCTCTTTCTTCACCATAATCCTTCATGGTTACCGTGGTTTTATTCTGAAAAGGTGTTAGTACTTCCATCTGCTAAGTCCAGAATGTCAAAGGTTGCCTTGGTTTTACCTTAGCTAGCGCGTATCTTTTGTCCTTGCTGCATAAGAAAAGGTGTAGTATCCATAAAAACAACAACAACAAAAAACCACACCACACCACCCCAAAAAAAAACCCCACATAATTTGGTGTTTTGCTGTAAAATGGTAATGGAATTAAGGTACTTGAAAGCAACTGAGTAAAATACAGGAAGTGTTTTGTCATTAAAATCCAGGTAAAGATTACATAGATGTGTGTACGTTTCTATTGTTCCTAACTAATGAAGCTAAGCTCTGACTTGTCTGCAATGCCTGTTTCATGCATAGTTTGCTTTTACTAGCATAATTACAATACTTCTGATTGTTGGTCACGTTTCAATTAAAAAAAGTTAATGAAATGCATGACACATCTGATAACCCAGACAACTAATGATGCTCTATTGAACTTCAAAATAACTGTGTTTTATTAGAGAATGTGTGCTGGTTTTAGAATGAAATGTGAAATTTAAAATGAGGAAAACAAAAATGGGAAGCTTTCCAGATCTACAAGTTGATACTGTGTAATAGTCCATTTAAAGGAAGAGAATCAGTGCTAAATCATCTCTTTTCTTAGTAGGTCTTAGATTTATTGTTAATTTGCTGGAGGGAGAGATACGAATTTTTGTAATTAATGTCTACCTTTTGGGTTATGCATGCTGAATTAATAGCATAAACGTTGATCTGGCAAAAGGAACTGAAGACACATGGACATTTTACAGTCTAAAATATCTGTAATGCATCTTGGCAAAGAATGAATTGGAGCTACTTAAAAATTCGACATCTATTGAACTAATGAAAACAGTTGAATACACTTCTATTGAATCAGAATTTGCATTAATATCACTTATTTTAGCATTATCATTATTGTAATAGCTACACAACTGTTGGAATGTTCAATCTCTGTTCATTGTCTTATTTTGCTTGCATACCCTTTACAGGCGTATAGTGTGATGTGACTGAATAAACTTTTTGCACTAAAATTATGTTCTAGCTATTAAGTGCTGCTTGTGACAGGTTGCATGCTAGTGTCTGGTATGGATACATGTATACTAGGATAAAAACCCATGGGAATGTAAGTCAGTACTCTTACCTCTTTTGAAGGACATCTGGTTTCCCTTTCTCTTCTATTTTAGAGGAAGCCCACATTTGAAGGGAACCCCACATTATAAGGAAGAACAATGTGCTCCTTCATTAAATCTAGAAATGAAGAAAGTGCTGGACTTGCAAGCCTCTATCACAAGGTATGCTTATAAATCGTGTCCTAAGAATTTTTCCGCATATAGCAGTTGTTAAAAAGTGAAGGGGAATCTGGATGGAAAAAGCACTTCTAGTGAGTTTTGAGACTTCCTAATAGTAAGTTACTAATGATAAGTCTAAGGAGGTGGAAGAGTAAATTGCTGTGGAATAATTCTTTCTTTCTGTGCTTGGCTGTACTGATGTGTTACTGTAAATGTGTTTGTCTTTGGGCTCAAAGTATGGATTAGAGATTTCATGGAGGCATAGGCACATAAGAGCAAAACTGTACGTAGTGTTCCAGCATTTCTCCAGCTGCCTACAGAAGGCCCTTATTGGTCCTAGAAAAACTTTTTGTTTGCCTCCTTCTTTTTAAATGGTGATTACCTTCCCTATAAATCAGTGTTGAGCATGTTAAGTAAGTATGTGTGTCAGAACTTGCTGAAACTGTATATTGGGATGGGGTGGGAAGTGAAAGCAACAAAGTGCAGTTTAGTCAGAGGCCCCATAAGTAAAGAGTAAGAGGCCCCACAGGAGAAAACGGATATTGGAAGAAATGCAGTATATACTGGAAAAAGCTTTCCTGGGAAGCTGCAGGTTATTATCTGCATGCAAAGAGTTTAACAGTAGTTTTCAGAATTTTTGAGATGGTTGGGGAAGGATTTAAGAGGAGTCTTAATTTCTGTTTAGACCACAGGTAGGAAAGTGTTGTGGATTATTTATAGCCTAGGCAAAGTTAGTAATTTTCTGGGATAGATGAATAATTGATTGTTGGCAGCAATGTCTAATCTTTAGTCAAAAATATTAAAATGGTCTTCAGCAGTTCATATACCAGTTGAACAATTACTCACAACATTACAGACCTGTTAATGAACTCTCATTCCTAAACAGAATGTAAAATAGAGACGTACCATATTTTGTCAGCTTGGTACCTTTACTGTCTAGAGGACTTTGGGACTTAGTTTGTAAATTACTTGATGTAACTTTTCAACGTAGTTTATTATACAAGAGGCAGTAATATGGTGTTTGTTACATTAATTGATTTTTCTGTGACATTGACTTGAAGTGCATTTTTTTAGAGAATGACAAATACATTTGTTAGTTTGCAGTCCATGTTAGAGGATCTACTTGTTGCTACTGCTGATGGATTTCTCCACCTTGTTCACTGGGACGGTATGACCAATGGGAGGAAGGCCATCAACCTATGTACAGTTCCATTTTCTGTGGACCTGCAGTCTTCTCGAGGTAGGTTTTGGGATTTTGTATTGCTTATGATAGTTAACTATTGGCAAAATACTGTCTAATACAAAAGTAGGATCTCTGTTCTCAAGCAGAGATGAGAAAAATATGCCCTTTGTAAATGTGAACAAAATAGCCTCTTAAGTTATTTTTTTCTAAAAAGTAATAAGTAAACAACTGAAAAGTATGTTGGCTTGCAGTATCTCTGTGTTGACATATTTTTAAATTACTGGTATTTTCTCAGCAGGTTCATTTTTGGGCTTTGAAGATGTTTACATCAGAGATATGGAATACTGTGCCACACTTGATGGTTTTGCTGTTGTTTTTAATGATGGCAGAATTGGTTTCATTACACCAATGTCAAGTAGATTCACTGCTGAGGTACATTTTCGTTAGTATTTCTGGCACGCACTCTTCAATAAATACGTTTTCCTTGGTATGCATTTCAGGTAGCAATCTACTTTAAATTCTGTTCAGCTGCAAAGTTAATTAAAATTTAGCAGCTGGTTAAGAGGTGACCTAAGAACAAGACTGTATGTTACATCATAATTTGAAATACATTGTTCTAGGGCTAGTAGCTGTCTGTGGGAGAGCATAGTAGATTTAATTTTTGTTTATTCCCTCAAAATACTTCTGAGATCATCTTGCTGTCTCTGCAACAGGCTTCCTGTTGCTAGTTGTAACTGGGGTAATAAGAGGTGGTTTCTCCTGTGGCCAAGTATCGTAGGTGCAATTTCTAGCTTTTAGCCGTAATCGAGTCTTAACTCTTCTCATAGTGTCAAACATACTTCAGAATTTGTTTTAAAGGAATCTTTTCTAAGTTAAGTGTTTTCTTACCTGTAATCCAGCCTACAAATGGTACTACATTTGTCATTAGATCTGTTTCATTACAGAAAACCTGGCAGGATTTGCGTAGACTGTCCCAAACTTCTTCACACACTTAAAATATCTGTGATTTCAGCTGGGAATTTTTCTGTTTTGTGTTCATCTCTAGTACCATCTACTGATTTTCATGCAGTATCAAGGACATTCTTGCCTTATGGGTACTGACTTATTTTGGTTATTCGGACCCCTGATAAAAAGTTTCCTTACATACTGGCATCTTTCTGTAGTTTTTATTAAGAGCGCCAAAACCATTTTTACATATACTGGATTTTGTTTATCTGAGCCATATCTGTTAGTCTTGACGTTTGCTGTAGAGATTGCCTGAGGTGATTAAGGTCAACTGGTAGATCTGTAATATGGTGTACCTGGGTAACACATGGGTGGAAGCTGACTAACATGAATAACAGCACTATTTAGCCAAAAATTCTGTGAATTCCTTTCTTTACAGCAGCTCCATGGTGTTTGGGCACAAGATGTGATTGATGGAACTTGTGTGGCAGTAAATAACAAATACAGGCTAATGGCATTTGGATGTGCCAAGTAAGTTTTGTAAGGCTGGTTCAATGGGGGGGAAGAGGGAGGAATGATTTCATTATAAAGCTTAAGTACTCGTTTCTTATTACCAAAGTGTGTTGCAAGAGGTGTGAGGAGGAAAATGATTAGTCTTTGTAGAGATGGTATAACTGCTCCATCAAGAAGGTGGGAGGAAGAGGAAAGAAATGATTGCCTGCGGTTGAAACTGATGCTTGCTGTTCAGCTCTGGAAAAAAATTAAAAGGAGGTTGGACCAGTAGCAAGGACCGGAAAGTGCTACTTTCCCAGTTAATCTCAAAGCGGGATTATAAAGTCAGTGTTAAGTAGTTAATCAGAATAATATTGGGCAAGCATCAACATTTTGCACCTAACTGAGAAAATGCTCTGTGAAGTGTTGATCTGCTCAGGAAAAAAGGTGCCTCTTTCAGTAACTGTGAATATTTGTAAATTAGATGTTGCAAAAGTGCTTTTAATTGTGGTGCTTTACTGCTCCTTCAAGACAGTTCCTCCGGTATAACACTGCTTTAGCTGGTCTGGAGTGCAGCTTTTTTTTTTAATTGTATTTTGTTTGGGGTTTTTTTAGAGTGTTTAAAAAATCTGGGTGGTTGAGTTTCCAACTATCTGCTTAAGCAACAGTATTGTCAGTTGTAGTAGTGATAGGATGTGTTGGTGTTTGCCTCAGAAACATGAATAGTTCCTATAACTTTGATGTTGGTGTGCTTTATACGCTCCCGATGGAACTTTAGCACTGAGTGAATACTGACTTCCTGCATGGATTGTCTTGCAGTTGGAAGCTATAAATTTGTGTGGATTGTGCATGCATGTGTATTTTCAGAGAACAAAATAGTGGTTTGGTTCTTACAGGACTGGTGGTGTGGGTCCTCCACTGCCTTCTGGAAAATGTCTTAGGAATTTGTGTCATAAAGTTCTGTGAGTGTTACTTGACACAATGTTTCTGTTGTAGATAAATTTGGTATTAGTGAGGAAGAAAAGCATCTTTTATTAACCTCTTGAAGGTGAAGAGAAACCCACATGGTCTGTAGTCTAAAGCATGTGTAATCTCTTACAGCGGCTCTGTGCAGGTTTATACGATAGATACCACCACTGGCGCCATGCAGTTTTCTCATAAATTGGAGCTGACACCAAAACAATATCCTGGTGAGCTACTTCTATACTTAGAACTTTCCAGCTGGTTTTAGGGTATTAAAAAATATTTTTATCCTTGGCTAGGTGACAATTCTTTGTTATTTGCATTATCACTGATGGGATTAGTATTTATTCTTCCATGTTTGTAGTAATTTACTCTTGTGCATTTGTTCTTTTAGTTGTTTCCTTCCCCCCCCCCCAAACTGAATCTGAGTTGGTAGTTTACAGGCAGTGCTGCTTCTGGTTGTTCCTTCTAAAATGCTGCAGATTTTCGTAATTTCCACATACAGTCCTGAGATTACTTTTCCATTACTCACCTGAGAAAATGAGAGGTTATTGTAAAAACTGATAATGAATATAGTAGAGTTGTGAATGAACTTGAAACAACTGACATGCAGGGTACAGAAAACCCCCCTGCATGAACCGCAGTGAACAAAAGTTCAGTGGAATTTTTCATGTAGTAGTAATGACTGTTGCAGGCATGAGTAAGGAACGTGTAAAGTGGGTAAATTGTGTCCTCAGCTGAAAATGCCTATGTGCCGATACGGTGTCGACTAAAACATCAAATCTGTAATAACAGTTTTACAGTTCTGCGAAGTGTCAGAGGAAGAGGTTTCAAGAGTGACTGTAAAATCAGAAGATTTTTGTCCTGAAAATCATCTTACCAGAATTGCAGTTCTGTGGTTCTGTCATAGCTCAATGTATGTCTGGCTTGGTTTCATATGAAATCAAACATGTATTGGAAAGAAAACGTGAATTCTTCGTTTACTGCATATTCATGCTGAGGTGGTCAATTTGGTGAATGCAGCAAAGAAGTTAATTGAAAAATAAAGTATTTATTTCCATATATTTTTTGCTTCTCCTCTTATGGTGAAAGCAGTTGAAGGACATGTGATGTTTTTCACGTGGTATTTTATGGTCTGTTTTTAAACAGATATTTGGAATAAAACCGGACCTGTTCAACTAATCAGATGGTCACCTGATAGCTGTGTTGTGATGGTGACTTGGGAATGTGGAGGCTTGTCCTTGTGGAGTGTTTTTGGTGCTCAGCTTATCTGTACTTTAGGAGGTGATTTTGCGTGAGTATCTTTAATGGAATTGTAAAATGTTTTACTAAAACCTTTTATTCAAATTAAAAGCATTTAATTAGAAACTGAAACACTGAATTTCCTTTTTAAGATTCCCCCC